CACTGCTCATTGGGAGCGTGTGAAAGAGATGCGTTTTTGCGGGCTTCCTGTCCATGTGTGAGTGTGTGAGGCAAAGCACCTTGGTGGGATTTCTTTTTAACAAATGTCAAGGTCGATACACTGGGTCGACCACATCTGCGAACAAGACTAAAACGGAACTGGTGACGACGTTGACTAACCGATGTGTAATTTTTTGTGTGTTGCAGAGTAACAAGCCAATTATGGAGAAAAGGCGTAGAGCTAGGATCAACAACTGTTTGAACGAGCTCAAGACTCTTATCCTGGACGCCATGAAAAAAGACGTAAGTATCTTTTTCCTTGTCCAGAAAACAATTCGGACATTTTGCGCTTTACTCTCTGATAAACGTGACAATTGCAGATGTTTTAATTTTGTTTTCTTCTCTCCTTACAGCCGGCTCGCCACTCTAAACTAGAGAAGGCCGACATCCTGGAGATGACCGTCAAGCATCTGGAGAACATGCAGCGGCAACAGGTAGCGCTCGCCACGGCCACGGACCCCACCGTGATCAACAAGTACCGCGCCGGCTTCTCCGAGTGCGCCGGCGAGGTGGGCCGCTTCCCCGGGCTGGAGCCCGCCGTCAAGCGCCGCCTGCTGCAGCACCTGGCCGCGTGCCTGGGCAACGCCAACACCGCCCTGGCCGAGACCGGCTCCGGGGCGCAGTCGCCCCCGCCGGCCGCCAACACCCCGCCCACCACCCCGCTGCAGCTGCACCTCGTGAAGTCTGACGCCTCCCCCAACGGCACCCCGACTCTCTCGGGCGCCGTCAACAACACCAGCAACGGCATCTTCTTCACGACGGGCTCCAACGGCGCCGGCCTCCAGCTTGTGCCGACCAGGCTGCCCAACGGAGACATCGCCCTGGTGCTGCCGTCGTCCCGTGCCGGTCAGCTGGGCCAGGTCGTCGCCGAGCAGCAGGCCGAGGCTGTCGTCAAGGCGTCCCCGCCCCCCTCGCCGGCCCCTGCCACCTCACCCTCGCCGCTGCCCATGCTCATCCCCATCCCGCAGAGGACCGCGTCCACGGCCTCCGCCACCTCCTCGGCGTCGGCCTCCTCCTTTGCGTCGACCACGTCGACCTCGCCCACCTCCTACGACCACCTGAGCGTGCACTCGCCACCGCAGACCCAGCCGCACAACCTCAGCACCATGCACACCCTGCACCGAGATGCGGCCACCTCCCCAGCCGGCTCCCCGGAGCTGCCCATCGCCTACCCTCCATCCCCCCTGTCCAACTCGTCCAACTCGTGCGGGTACGAAATCCACTCGTATACCCACGAAGAGCACAAGCCTCTCGCGCTTGTGACCAACAGGAAGAAGTACGAGATGATGGAGGTGGAGGAGGAGCCCTGGAGGCCCTGGTGATCTGCCTGCCTGTCGGGCTGCTGTTATTGTTCCTGTTTCCGCCCGTGTTGGCACCACTGCTCGGCCCCCAGGGGGCCTTGCTTCGTACTGAAGTGTGCCGCGCGCCGGGGGAAAGAAATCCAAGACTTGTTGCTCAGGCTCTTATATGTATGTTAATGTATTGACTGTGATCTCATATTAGCGGAAATTGAACATCCCACATGCCATTTTGTACTTATGTGACCTGCTATGATGATGGGGTTTTAAGATGATGTTATGTTTCTTCTTTGTGTACCTACGTATCGTCACTTGCTTTTCCATTTTTGTTGTTTTTTGATAGGGTCTTCCCTATGATGTTCAATTCACTCTAATATTGCTGTTTTGTTAATTGTTCCAAAATGTGCAAATATACCTTACGTTTTGTACACTGATAAGTGAGAATTAAGTTTATTTTTGCAAGAGTGATTTCTATGGTTAGGTGATTGAGCGCTTTATTATCTTTGTATATTTGTGATGTAACATATAAAGTACAATTTATAGTGCCTTACAACAAAATTCACAAAGGTCTTCCCAGTTGTACAGTGATTCTGTTTATTGAAGAGTTTATTTAAAGAGTATTGCAATAATGCATTTATTCTTGGAAATGTTTTTTGATTAAAGCACATTCCATTTAAAATCTTGGTCTTCTCCATGATCTCCTTTTTTCTCCCTCGGCAACCTGAAACCCAAAGAAAAAGACATCTTTAACTCAACACTCATTTAACGCGATGAATAATGACACTACAGCACACACTACTACTTAAAAAACAGTGGGAGCGGTTAGCATTTATTATCACTGACTGGCTGGTGACACCATGGACGCAGCTTGATTGGGAGGGGGGCAAGTAATGAAAGAGAGAGGGGTAAGGGGGGGGGGGGCAACATCTGTGCTTCTGGCTGCGGCTGCATCATGATGGTGCTCTCCATGCCGCATGAGCTGGGCTGTTTTCGTTCCCAGGCCAATTACGTTACTCAGAAGCGGCAGTACGTACGCCACTGTGCGGGAATGTCTGTGACGTGGAGGGCGAGGATGCGGCCGCAGGCCCGCGGGTGCGAGCCGGCCGTCGTTGCGTCACGGTGGTCACGGCCGGCGCCGCGGCGGCCCGCCGCCTTAGCGAAACATAAAACAGGTGTGCATTATAGTGCAGCATTTTCACGAAACTTTTTAGTTTTCGAAATATTATACATATTTTTGTATTTGTTCGATTGTCTGGGCGTGGCTCCTGCTGCTCTGCTACTGGTCCCCCTCCCCGATCTGTCCGGCCCGTTCCATGAAGTTCAGCCGCCGCACCATGGGCGCCGCCACCATGAGAAATGTGATGCGTTGACTGGGCGGCGCAAGTGGCCCGCCCGCCGCCCATCTGCCGAGTCAAGTGGGGTGATCAATATCCCCCCCCCCTCCCCTCCGCCGCCACGTCCCGGGAGCGTCGCGACGCCCTGCACGTACGTCCCGCGTCCCGGCCCGGCCGCGAGCAGACAACGTTCGCGGGACGGACGCCCCGCCGCCACGCGCCGCAGAGAGCGTGTCGCCCGCGTGGCCGCGCCAGCGCCGCCGCTCCTTCTGCCCCCTTCTCTCTCGCTCTCTCTCTCTCTGTCTCTCTTGCCCGCGCGCGCGGCCCCACGGAGCGCCGCGACGCCCGCTGATCCTTGGACCAGTGTGCGCGCGTGGCGTCGTCGTCGCCGCGCCCGCCCGCGAGCAGCCCGCCGCAGGCCGCGACTCTGCGACTTGTCAGTCAACCGCCGCCCGCACTTGACGACTCACTCGAGGGTGACGTTGACGTCAACGACGCGCGGCTTATGTCACGGGTGCGAGAGCGAAGCTAGTGGCGGGGTGGTTTATTCCGTCATCAAAGGCCGGGCTCCAATAATTAAACATCATATTCAAGTGGTCTATTTTCAGGGGGTCAGGGGTCAATAAAACCGACCGGAGAATAATCTCACAATTCCAACCCCGCAAAAAAGTTGAATTTTTTGGTCTGCTGTAATCTAATCGATTGAGTTATAGCAGCGACCACTGTGTTTTCTACACGTTGAAATTGTGCGAAGTTTGTATTTGGACCCAATTATGTGCGCGTTCTTGGTCAGCCCGGTCACTCCGCTGTCCGGTTTGACGTTTATTAAACTACTATTCATACCTAAGTCCTCTAGTATGATCAGATATCGACTATTGACACAAGGCCCATGGCCATTGTGACCTGCGACCTCTGGCGCGGTGCACATACTTTTTCCTTACTTTCCACTAGCTTCCCGAACGTCGAATCTCAGCAGTTCCACAAGTTTTTTCCCAACTTCGCTCGCAGTGCAGGCGCGTGGGTCGGGCAGGTGCGCGCGAGCGCGCGGCGCACGACCAAACAGGCGGAATGCCAAAAATAAAGCCGTGCCGTCAGTCGTCGCGCGGGGCGCGTCACGGCGCGAAGAATAGCAAAAGAGCACTGCAAAAAAGTACAAAAAAATTAAGCTGGTATTTTATTTCGGATTTTCCAACCACCAACCCGTAGAGGCGCCACCTCGTCTGTGCGGGCGCCGCGGCCGCGCAATGTGTAAATAATACATGCCGTCAGGGTGCACGTGTGTTGTGTTGATCTCGCTCGAGACTTTGCCCTACTTCTCCTTCCGCGCGAGGTCACAGAGGTGCGAGTAGAGCAGAGTATTACCTACCGCGCGCACACACACGCGCAAGCAAGGAACTGGATCGGCAAAAGACCAAAGAGTGCAGGTCGTCCGTGAGGCGGCACGCGCCGTCCGTGGCGACGACGTGAAGCAGTGCGCGACCTTGGTCCACACCGCAGCGAGCGGCGCGGGGACGCTCTCAAAGTATCTGCGGCCGGCCGGCCGCGGCCAGACCTGCTGCTCGGGTCGCGACGCCCCGCCGCGCCCCGCCCCGCCGAGCACGCGCCGCCGCGGCGGCCCCGCCTGGCCCCGCGTTGCCACGCCCCGCCACGGGTGGGCTCACGGCGGCTCACGGCGCTCACGGCCCGCCGGCTCTGAACGTGCGGCACGAGGACCACGATGAGGAAGACGCGCGCGGGGCCGGCGGCGGTGACGACAGCACCACCAGGGCGATGACGCGGGCGCTGCGCCCACGAGGCCTCTCTATCTCTCTCGCACCGGGCGTCACGTCTATGTATGCCAGCCGACACCACCTGCTGGACTCGACATTTCAAAAGTAGAGGGGTATTAAAATTAATTCTTTTTCACACACCGAGCAGCACAAGTGAAGAGCAGCCCGTTAGTCCGACGACGGCGACCGACGTTGGCCTCGAGGACAATGGGATTAGGCGGCGCAGGCAAGGCACACCTTGGCGCTGCCCGCCTGCTGGCATGGCGCCTCGCATGCTAGTAGGGGGTGTCATTGTGCCGACTGGGGGGAGGGAGGGAGGGAGGGAGGGAGG